TTGTAGTGATTACGAGGCACATAGATTCCGGGAGCCAATATATATCACACGTCTTAAACTCTTGACAGGAGATAATTGTTAAGTCTGTGTAGCTTTATAAAGGATTAATCACACCCAACTGGGAGGTCCCTCCTTTTGGGTTGCTTTAATTTCGTAATAAAGGGTTCCAGAGAAGGAGAAAGGGCCCCGCTCTACCCTTGTTTAATGAACGAAAAGGGCCCTGATTATAAGATAAATAGTGATAGTGGGGATATCGGTTAATCTTGGAGATCAATACATAATCAGTTGAAACGGAGCCTTTACGCAGTTAAATTCTGTCACAGTTTCTCTTCGGAAGACAAGTCCAATAATGCTAGCTTTTCGAACTTAAAAGTTGCTTCCATCAAATTTTATGAACCTGAAGCTGACCATGTCAAAAAAAATCAAATGACAAAACAATTAAAAAGCAAAAAATAAATTGAAATAAAAAAAAAACAATTATTTAATATGTATATATATATGTATTAAATAAAAAAATGATCAAATAGACCTTTAATCTATGAAAAATTATGAAAATATAAAACTAAAAAGCCCTATCTTAAAGACAAGTAGGCAAGAGGAAAACGCAAACGAACAACAGAGTGCGAATTTTATGATGCTTCACAAAAATAGAAATTAGAATAGAAATTTTGGATGCAACATTATATTTTAGAAGTTAATGAATAAGCTATTATACTTTAAGCTTGTTTTTAAAAAAAAATAATTTATAGCATACCTTCGATAATCTTTTTTTACATTTTTTTAGATTTCCTATTTTTTTTTCATTTTAAATAGCTTTACTTACAATTGTAAATAATTTATTATATAGCAGTTTCTTTATAGGTAACTTCGTTGTTATAACTTTTAGTAGCCCTATTTAATATATTACTCATACAGCTTTGTGATAAATATAATACAGTTCAAAATGCAGACTAACAAAATGTCGCGAAGTCATATTTATAGCTTTATTGTCTTCTTACCTCAGAGAAAGTTCAAGGCCAAAAATCTAGGGCAAATATTTAGCGCTTACACATTAAAAACTGTTTTGGACATAAAAATTACACCAGTAAGTCAGATCAATATCTATATATCTGGTCCAGGGTACATTTTTTGTATGTGAAATTTAAAAATTACGCAAAGTATTCACTTAAATTATTTAATGATAATTTTAAGGGCTCAATCTTTAAATCTTAATGCTTAGAAGGTGGGAAATAATTTAAATTAAATAATAGCCTTTAATAATAATGCGGAATTATTGATAAAATAATTGGGGCGGCTGCTACGTTTACTAAATTTGGGAAACTAGCGATTATCAGACAGTTTTGAATTTTTTAGATCTGCATTCTTTATTTAAAAACAAATTCATCTAATACTAAGTGAAAGGATTACAAGCATTGATACTTTAAGTGTTCATGAACGGTAAATGATATTCATCATTATAATATTTGTTTTGGCCTATGTCTCATGGACAGATATTATTTTTCAAAGTTGTATTAAACAGTTAACCAACGACACAGGTTTTATAATTGGTATTTAATATTATTTGACTGTTCTTAGTTATACAATATTTATACATAAGCAATGTCGATCCAAACTATTGTTAACTATAAGACCAATGTAACGAAAGGGGATATTGTAAAAGTTTATATGCATATTCCTTGGGACGTAGTTGTGCTCAGTCCTATGCAGCTAAAGGATAAAAGGGTTCATAATTTGTCATACATAAAAGCCTCATTATTTCAAGGTATAGTGAGATAATTATTCGGTGTCATTTGGTAATTATAATCGACCCGGCATATTACCTTTTTTACTAAGATATCAAGAACAATTTTTTTTTATGTACACGTATTTTGGCAAATAAGATGCTAATTAGAATATTAGATGTTAGCTAAATAAAGCACGGGTTCTAGTTTGAGCTCTTAGCTTCTACAGTTCTACTGTAAGTTTGTTTTTTTTGTGTTTTTTTTGGAAGCTTTTTAATATACAATTCTATAAATATTTGACTATTAAAAAATATTTTCGCTCCAAGCCTGTATACTCATGGTTATTTAACTGATGTTATAGACCCACTTCCTCTAAAAAAATTTTAAAATTTTATTATTAAACCTTCCGATAGTCAAAGACAAATTTTATTAGTTGACTTGTTTGCAATAGTTTTAACTTAACTTTAGAGCTTTATAATAAACAAATTTAAAGATTTTTACCTCTATTCTTTGTCTTTATAATTTTAGAAGGCTTGCAGTAAGATTAGTTCCCGCCATTTAAAACTAAAAGTAAGCTGGTTTATAATTTGTAAAAACTTGAAAATGTCAACGGTTTAATTTTGTTAGTAAATATAGCCTAAAAAATATTATATGTGAACGCATAAGCTTTAAAATTGGAGATTGTTGAACATTTAATCTACATTTGTCCACTATATATGTTTCTTAATATTTTTACTTCTATAAATAGGGCTTTTACTTTCTATTAGATGTGTCTAACGATCTACTATCTCTCATTTGTCAAGGTAAAACCTAAATTGATACTCTGCAAATTATGTATCTCTTTTCCTTTTTACTTTTAAATCCTTAAGGAGAGCTCTCACTTGGATTAATTAATGTAACTGTAATAAAACTAACGGAAAAAAAAGATCAAGTAAAGAGTTTTGAAAGTATTAAGTTATTAGGAATTAATTCCGATAAGATCAATGACTTAAGTAATTTGTGCTCGAATCAAAATCATCTGTACTTAAGTAAGGAACCCCATCCCGTTTTAGGCAAAAAAGATAACAATCTAAATAGAATTTCTTTAATAAAAATTGATTCTAAAGAGGGACACAAAGGCACAGTGGATTTGATTCCTAAAAATGTAATTTTAAAAGCTGCCAATAAAAAATATACAGCGATGAATTTAAGATTTAGAAGAGATGAAGCCGTTGTACAGCCTCTGGGGGCCCCAACAAAAGATAAAAAAGGAGAAAGCGACTATATATATGACCAAAAAGACATAGACAGCTTTACCTTAAAAGGATTAGAAAATGGGTCAGATAAACTAAATTACGAGAACACTGAATATTCAGCAGACTTAGAAAACCTAAGAGAAATAGAAGACGAACATTTTGACTCAGAAGACAAAAAAAACTATGATGAAAATGTATGGGATGAAGAGGACTTTTCAGTAGTTGACTATGGCTCTGGGGAGGTTATTAATAATAAAAACTCTATGGATGATCCATATAAGGAAGATGATTATTTTATGGATGATGATTATACTGATGACGAAATTTATAAAACTAAAAATGACTTTATTCCTAGAGAAGAAGGGAAAGAAGACCAAAGCACTATGTCTACAAATTTAAAAGATCCTCAGGGGAAGTTTGAAGACAACGTTAACTTCGAAAAAAAGGTAATGGATAACGTAGAGGCGGAAACTAGAAAAATTAATGATTACAAGGTAAATATATCCAGTATTGCCAAAAATGTAAGTAAAGATAACGACTTGATGTTTGACCATAAAGATGAAAAGATTCATGTAAATGAAGTAGATTTAGAAGTTTCAGCAGTACATACCTCAATGAAAGCTTCAAGAAATGACAGTGTTAATATAACTAAAAATAGCGAAGCTAACTTATATACCAGTATAACTTCTGAACCTACTATGAAGCGAGAAAAGGGGGAGACTGTGGTTAAAATTGACTCAGTTAAAACAACTAACGGCGATACTAAGGCTTACGAAAATAATGAATATATAAACTCTATTTTAAAACAACAGGTAAATTTTTATTGCAGTGTAACTATAATTCACTATCTATTTTCTCAAAAAAGGTCAAAACTCTGAGGAAAGTAAATTTATTTCCATATGAGGCATTCCTAATAGTAATGGGAAGCACAATAACTGCAGGATTTGTTATTATTTTAAGAAATTATATTAGAAATAAAAGTTACTTCCTGAAGGTTCTTTTTATTGCTTTGATTAAATTTTCTACAGTATTTGTTTATCTGTTTATTTTAGGGTCAAAATAAAAAATGGAAATTCCTAATGTAAGTTTTTATTTATGCGCTGTAAAAATCAATGATTTCGCTTATAAAGGAAGACAATAAAAGTAGTTTATAAACACAATACATAAATTATTACAGAAAAACAAAGTTTGAACAACTGCACTTTAGTCGTAAAGATAACCGGGTTAAATTGCCATGTACAAAACTCATATTTACTTACTGAGTCCGCTGTGACCTTGAAAAATTTTAAAACTTCTGCAATAACCGCTCCTAAAGCTAGCTTAGAGGAAAAATAAACCGTTTAAGCAGATTACGACTTTATATATCAAGGTTGAAGACAAACGGGGCGACACCACCCTCAAACCTACTTTCATTAAATAATGCGTGCGGTTTCCATTAATTGGCTAGTGTGATAGAATATTGCTTTAAAGACCTTACCAGTTGCAGAAAACAAGGTAGAAATTTTATCCCAATAATAGATTATTAAATTGATAGGTCTCAAATGTATTATTAACGTCAATGTGTTAATTTTTCATACTGAAATTAGTAAAGTAGTAACTGTAATAAATAGCAGCTTGCCCACACCCCTACAAACAAAGCGGGCATCTTCCTATATCACGAAAACCCACTATTCTCAGACCTTCCTGTGAACAACCTTATATGCATACTTATGAAATGCCCACAATTGTTGTGCACATATTTACTATTAATAAAATAAAAAATAATAAATGTAAAAAAATAATAAAAGTAAAATTGCATTTAAAATTTAAGCGGTACTATCTTTTTAACTATGTTAAAGTTATAAACAAAAATAAAATATAGAACATAGTAACAATCAAAGGTATAATAAAATATTAAAGGTTCATCAAACGCCTCTTTAGCTTTTAAAAGAGGGGAGAGGCTTAATATTTTCCCTATTTCTATGGTCCTATATAGTATCTGCTTACACGAGACGGAAAGTAAATAAGCAACAAGTGAAACTAAACCCCTCAATTATACCAAATGCCTTTCGAGAGGGTGCTAACTCCCGCCTTTTTTGTACTTTTATTACTTGGGCCTCTCTTTTTTTTTTGATCTTCTACTTAAATAGGTCGGTATTGTTCTGGGTGGTGTTTTCGGTGCGTACTTATCTCAAAACTATAAAGTATTTTTTGCTTTAATGTTAATAAACTAAGAGAAATATATACCTTTCTATAGTGGACGTGTATAATAAATACAAGAATAGCCTTTTATATTTTTTACCTTTACCTCCGTTTTTACTTCAGTTTTTAAAACTTTAATAATCTTTTTATAGTAAATAGATATCCTAAGTTGTTTAAACTATATATTAAAACATTAATATTTTTTTTAAAGGTTTTCTTATAGTTTGTATCTTTCATATAAAAACATTATTTTACATTTTTAATACATTCTTTTTAACTAATTTTGAGTTGCATTTTTTTTAACATTTTGGCAAGGTCCCAGATTTGAGAGAATGTGTGGAAGCCTGGCAAAGAAAATTAGATATAGAAGCTAGCAAAAATAAGTAAATAAATTTAAACAGAAATTTTAATTTTTTTTTTTTTTTGTTTAAATGTAATATTTCATAGATATTAACAATTGTATTTACTTTTTATTTTTGGTATTTAAAGCCACATTTTCATGATTGAAAAAAACTTAGTTAACTTATTCTCGCTCCACTTAATATTCAGCGATGAGAAACCCTTTATGACACGCAATAAGTTAGTTAAATATTTATAGGCAAAAACAAAGATTTTTGCCTGATCTAAAAAAAATTGTTTATATACCACATAATTATTAATAAGTTCAGAAAGCCGGTCAGCAATAATTAGTATATATTTGTCTTTCTATTTAATTTTTAAAATCCAATACTTAAAGCTATAAGTTATTTTTTCGTGGGGCAACTAAAAATTTGAGGTAGTTTCGCTTGAAGGTGCCTTGGAGCTAACTAGAAAAACAACTCTGATCTGATTCTCTATTTTAAAAGAGGATTTGAAAATTAATTTACGAAGCTTAAATTAACAAGAAAGGAAAGTTCCTTCCGTCTTTTTTGTGGGAATTGCAACTTTACACACTCTATTCTCCTTAGTTATCTTTATAATTTGTTGATTATATCAAAGGATTAAAGGTTTCCTCATTTCTGCAGAGATCAGAGTCACCTTATCTTTATTTTGGAATAAAGAGTAGTACGCAGTGTTCAGCGTTGTAGCAAACACCTATTTGGGTCTCTGTGGAAGTAAATACAAGTTCCAATAGCTCTTAAGAAACTGGTCAGTTTTCTGAATTTATAAGACCCTACCTTTTTAATAAAAGTCTCACTATACAGTGCGTAAATCGGGTCATCAAGTAGCCATTATCTGGCGAAAAAAAAATTACTATTTTTAGAAGTGTTCAGAGACACCAAGGCAACAATTCAGTGTTAACTTCTTATTTTACTTTACAAACCATCTATGCTTAAAATAAATGTACTATCTACAAATAAAATTGTTGCTTTTCGTGAAAATTATAGTGCTAAAATAAAATCCTATTTTTTATATATCTTTTTTGTAATCCAAAAATTTTATAGTTTAGCTAGGAACAGTGTGTAATGAAAGAAACTGAACAGATTTAGAAAAATCCAATACTCCTTTACATACGCGTTCAAAAGATCTGCTTTTAAAAATGGTAAAAACCCTCAGCGAGCCGTAACGACTTTTCCTGCGTTTGGCATCTTTGCTGTCTACCTGCGAGAATGGGCAGTAATTTGCAAAACCGGTAAAAAGTAATGTGTCGTGACTAATAAGCCTTGTCTTAAGCTCACTTTGAATAATTCCATATATCTATTCTACACTGGTTTTTACGAAAGCTTTACACAACCATAAAATTAATAAAAATTTCTAAATTAAAGACTTTTGCAGATGGTCGGTATTCTTTCAATTCACTTTAATACTTATATCATAACTGTCTTCAATGTACAGTGTGCCAGAGATGCTCATAGCATTAAAAAGATTAAAAAACGAGTTAAGAATAACACAAAAATAAAGAATTAAATCGAAGAAAAAGAACACAGGTTACTCACAAATCTTTCAATATATATTTTAAAAAGAACAAACAAAAAATAATAGGCAAGGTCTAAGTTATTTTATTTTTTAATTTTAATCTCATTCAATTGAATTTTAAACGTGATAATATTATGGCTCTTGTGGGATTAATATTTTGTAATTTTTTATTATAGCTCTGCTTTACGCATGGTTCTTACTAGTTTCAAAAGTTTCCGTGTTAAATCTATAGTGTTTTTGTCTTAAAAGAGGTTTATAAATATAAATATATTAGCAAAAGCACGCCCTAGTTAATATAATAAATGTGACAGTTTATGGTTATAAACTTTTTTCAGGTAGTGGTATGCAATATCAATTAACAAATTAAGGACTAATTGCTTGGTAAGTACTTAATGGATATATCACTTGCTAAAAGATTAACACTGGTATATATCTTCACAAGAGGAGTTATGTACATTATTTTTCTCAATTTTTTCTTAAAAAATAGAAAATTGGTTAGTAATATAATTGCAGTAAACATTGAGAACAACATTATCGTTAATATCACTATCTATATTTATTTTTAATTGATGGGTGAAAAATTATTAGTTCGTCTTTCGTGCGACTAATAAATTCTCGTCTTTATTGTTCTGTTAAAGTTCGCCAAAATTAGTAGCTACATTTAGTTTATCAACCTTGCACTATCAGCGATATTTCTTTAGTTAACAACAAAGGCTGCCATGGACATCTATACGAAGGGGCAAAGTTAATTAGGTTGTGTTTTACTAATTAAAAATTGGAATTGTAAGTATATAATATTGATATACCAATGTTCGTTCGTAGAAGGTTGTTAAGCGATATATTATACTTTCTGCCAAAATGAAAAATTTTATTACCTTAAATTTTTCGATATAAAGTGACTCCTGAAACACATAATTCTCTTGTTTTCTAAAAACTGTGTATCACCTAAATTTATAGTTGTCAACGTATACACCAATAATATACTAAATCTTTCCAAATAAAATATATGTACCCACATTATAGCAGTAACAGCCGGAAAAGATCTTTGCATTATAGTCCTACTTTTCCCTTTTCGGACTAAAGAATTCGAAGACGCCCTTTTTTCATTATTCATTCAAAAAAAAATTTATTAAAAAGAGTTGCCTTTGTTAAGTATTAAGCGTTATGATAAACATACTTTGAGGATATATGCGTAAACTAATAAGTTAGTGTGTAAGATAGCTCTATTAGTATATGCAAGGTGCATTGACATTTTTCTATAATTCGCTATATTTATTAAGAAAGGTTATCTATTACGGACAGGGATATTTACTTCAATAAATTTAGACCTGCCGTATTATCTAGTTGTTAGCCCTGCTTCACAGAGATTTTTTATAAGAAAGGGTCAAGTAGATTATGTTCATTTATTATTAGTACATAGGAAGTTATAAATATGCCTATGCAAAAAGGGAATTCTGTGCTGGCAGAAGCCTTTACATTCTAAATTATTTACTTGGTTAAAGTATCGAATCGTCTTAGTTCATGTTATTAATACCTGTTTGCTTCCTACTAAAAAAATAATTTCTTTTACTTTTATCTTCTTATTTAATGCGTAAAACTTAAAACAAATTTATCTTCAATTTCGTCAACAAGCAAAAAATATAGTCTACTGCGAACTAATTTTCATGTCTATTTTTTACTGTCTGCAAGACTTAAGTAAAATGCTTTCTTCTTTTCAATATTAATTAAGTGATTTAATTGGCTCAATCATCTTTAAATTTTTATATATATTAATCGATTTAATCTTTTGTAACTGTTCAATTATTAAAAACAATTGACTAGAATTTTTTTGCCTAGTTCAAACTCTTGTGTTCATAACTCTTATTATCGGTTTTAGCGAGTGTCTCATCTTGGTATTCTACTTAATCAGTTACTATTAGTTTTTTGTATATTAAAGGGATGGATATATCACTAGTCTCGTAAGAAAGTTTCTTTTTAATTGCCGTAAAAAGTATCTGAGTGATAATCAATACACAATTTAAATGCATTGATGTTTAATTCACAATTAGCGCATTCTAACAAAGTATTCTGCTTCTTAAAACTATTTTCAGTTTACTAACTCAATAGTTGGGAATTAAGCATAAGAACTGGAGACAATAGTGTTGTCGTAATTTACTGTTAACTTAAAAGAATCCACGAAGATTGGAGGTAAAGCAAAAGGTTCAAGGGCAAAAATCAATCTTGAGTTCCATGTGTAACTATTGGTGTGATTTTAGAGTTGCAGCTGCGGTGTATTTTTTGTCTTTTATATTCTACCTTTTACTTTTCCCCCTCTTTGGTATTGGTAAAACTAATTAGTAATAAAGAAAAACAACTAATGAACATAAAACACCTTTCATTACTATATACTACGTCTTAACTGTTTGCGCTTGTGCGTTGAGAAAGATCGTATCAAACGTGCACCCTTATAGCGGATTAATAGCTCCATTGTGGGGAACCCTCTTTTGGAGTTAATTTCGACAGACCGCTTTATATTAAAAAGCAACAGCTATCTTACGGCTGGCGATGGAGAAATTGTAACTTGCTCTCATCCTTAACCAGTCTAAAAGCTATAAGAAGCTATATACTCTAGCTAATACAAATATATGTGTTAACAGTGGACCGAGATGAAAGATTTGCATTTAATAGACCGTTAAAGTAAATGTAGGTTTATAAATTATAAAATGAGTAAGTGTTCACATAAGAAAGTAATAGACAGGACAATAATTTCTTGTAGAATATAAGCAGTAGATGCACTACTATTACCGTTTTTACTTATCTTTTTAAAAAAATAAATAAAACAAAAAATAATAAAAATAAAAATTCACTAAAAATTTTACGGATTCTAATCAAACCTAACATCCTATTTAATTAAATTACAAGAAAATATTTCGGTTAAGCCTCTCACAATATATTTTTGGTTAATATATGCTTAATATATATCTATGCGTTAACTAGAGTAAATAATTTGTTAGCTTTTATAGTAACAATTATCATCAAAGTATAAAAAACATATACGTGTTCATTTTGAGATTATTTATAATAAGTACCTAGGTCTTCACATTTTATTAAAAATATATAAAGCAGAGCACATGTTAAATTCCTTTATAAAATTTAACCGTAACTAAAGAGTGACCTTTCAGAGTTATATATAACTTACTGTTTATAAAATTGAATAATAACTTAAGTACCCATAAGTTTAGAATTTTACTTCTAATTATTATTACTAAAACCGGCAGCGTTCAAGAAACAAAATAACTAAATAAATTCTTATAGTGTATACGCAGTATATTAATTTAAACCTGTCGTTTCTGGGATGCCTTAAAAAAAAATAATTATACGAGTTCTGGTATTTACCGTATTTTTATAGAATTTTAGGAAATGTTTTGTCAGGGGTATCCGTATCAGATTATATAATACTGCTTTCGAAGAAAATACGTGTCTAAGGATAATTTAGCGCGTATAAGCCCTCGTCAAGGGTCACGACCAGCTATCTTTTTGGACCGGAAAGGTGGGCGTCTATGAATCGCTGCTCAGCATCCAATAAAAATTTTGAAATAGTTTAATTTATACCTTATGTGTGGATAAAAAATAAGGAAAAATTAAGTGTTTTTAAAAGTGGCATTTGTTTGGAAAGAAGTTTTAGTCGAAAGTTGTGCAATAAATTAAGCACATCCCAGATGCTATATCCACTGATGTGCAGCAAAAGTAAACTTTCATTGCGCAATAAGCCAAGGCTTTATGTGTTGTGCATTGGGCCGAGTATTACATTCGCATCTTCTGCCTAGGCCTACAACTCATCGGCATTATCGTCCTCGCTTCAAGTAAGACGAAATAAACTGCTGTCCCTTTAAACAACTCTGCCGTGGTTTGTGCGCAAACGAACTACATAAGGAGCTGCTGAATACAACCTCCCAAAATGATGCTGTGACCCTCTACTACGAATAGCTGAACACGCTAATCGTCTATTAGCGGAAAAAATCACAAGTTGTGGGCCAGCGAACTTTTACCATGACCGGTTGAAAGTTAAGTTAAGGGGTTAAAATCGAACGTGAAGTACACATTGTAAGGTTATAATTTTTACTTGTGCTCGTGGTCGTCTAAAAACCTGTTTGAGAGCTCGTGCATTGAAGTTGTTAACTCGATCGAGCACCAGGAAACGCCTATTTTTAAATAAATAGAGAAGGTTTAGTACACAAGAGGAAGTTCACTGGTAAAAATTACTTTTACCCCTTCGATCTGAGAAGTCAACTCTTCAGGAATTTGGTTAGTACTGCGGTAACCAGGGGGTTAACTATGCACTACGTTCCCCTCTAGAAAATCGGGACAGTCATGATACCCCCTAGATGGAGAGAGGTTAGACTAATATAAAAAGTTAAGTACATTTGAAATATTTTTTTTAACTATTAAGGAGCAATCAAAACAACAGGGCCACTGCCAAAAAGGATATAATTTACTTTCTAGTATAATAATCTCCACGATATATTAAGGTTAACGTAATAAGTATATTTATGTCAAACAATATATTCATATTTAAGCATTTTTCGCCCTAAGCTTTTTTAAGCTATTTGCCACAAAAAAATTTTAAAGTATTGATTATAAATTAACATGAGCTTTTTTTTTTATGCTGATCAGTTGCTTAAATCCTGAGAAAAAAGATGCCCACTTATATTGTATTTTTTCAAATATTTCCTATTGAACTATTTTACTTTTGTGACTGTTTACACTAATAAAAGCATATACCAACATTCCAAGTTTTTGAACCTTAATTCTTTTTTTAATGCTTGAAGTAATTCAATTTATGTGGTGCGTTTTATTCTCTTATAAATATTTTTTGCGTTTTGTACTGTGTTTTTAAACTTTCCTAAGACAGTTTATCTGAAACCTAACTTTAAAATCATTTGGCATAGGACTTTAAAAATTTTAGGACCGCCATTAAGTAGTAAACCATCATAAGCCTTTTCAGGCACAGTTAAGATAATTACATTTATGATAACTAGAGAATTTATTTCAATACAGCATATATTATATATGATTTAACTTTAAATTATTTAAAGATTTAATTGAAGAACCTCGTAACGCAGCTACCCAAAAAGAGGTTAGTGTAAGTCCTGCACCTTACCTGGATATTATTATCCGTGTCCATAATGATAGATGTAGGTTTGGCTATTGAAGTAAACCCAAGTCATGCAAAGATGAACATAATGGTGTTGCCATCAATTAACTCGACCAAAATATAGAGAACAGTATATCAAAATTTGTATAAAAAATGTATACAAAAAAAGTATATTAAAGTAAGGATTAATTTATAGACAAGTTTCGTCTGTATTTATACCTTTACAAAAGGTTGAAATTAGTTTTCATATATGTACAATAAATTTAATTGAACCAGATATTATTTTAATTCGTTTAGTTTGTATCTATTAATAAGGTAGTTCAACTAAACTTTGTGTTGTAGTAAATGCTCATTTTTTGTATTTTTATTGGTTGTTTCCGGGTTTCCGATTGGGTTAATTCAAGGATCCTTTTTCCTTTGACAATTTAGTGGTGTTTTGTTTTACAGTTGCGTACTTTATACTTAATGTATTATACTATATGCTTATGTAATCTATGCTCATTTTTGTTTTTCTATTTGTGTTTTGTGTTTCGTATCTTGTGTTTTAAATTGTGTCTTAGGTGTTGTGTATACTGTGTGGTTGTGTTAGAGTATTTCACAATTTTCCTTGTAAGCACATAAAGTCCCTCTATGACATAGAATTTTTATATTAGGCACTCCGACACTGGTAACTTGAATTAATTTTTTCCATGGTTTTGATAATAGCGACAGATCTAAATTAAGTGGAAGAAAAGAGGTCATTTTTTTTGTATGACAGTAGGGATGAAGTTCTCGTTCAATGTAATACTGCTAATCTTTTTAAATGACACTTTATCTCTATAAACCCCTAATTTCCTTTTGTTATTTTTTGAACCTTTTTTTTAAAAATAAGTTTAATTTTAAGAGGAATACTGTTTAAAATTTAAATAAAGGCGATCGCGTATTTAAAGATTTGACGATGGAGTCTTCAATGAGAGAAGAAGCCTTACTAATCCGGAATAACATGAAGGATAGGGAAGAGAGGTAAGGTGCCGCTAAGGAATTTTATAAAAGGAGACCAAACTATAGTTTTTTTAAAACTTCTTGGTTTTGCCCGAAAGCTTCCTGCAAGACTGTCAATGGTCAGATGACAATTTGTGGAGAATTGTGATATGTACAGATACCCGGAAGGTTTGAAAATGAATCCGTACTACCTTAAAAAATTAAATCTGGCATCTAAACAGACGCACACCGAAGTTGGGGATACACGAAATTAATTAATCTAAATTGTTGCTAGCACATATACTAGCCGGCTTTAGTCTGATAAATTAGCCACGGGTCGGTTTTTTTTTTGTTGCTTTCACGTATATATGTTAGATAATAACTACCATAGAACAATATTTGCTACCATATAATTCTTATAGTGAAAATTACTTTTGTGCCCTGAGTCAGCGTTATACTAATATATATTTTTCTCTTGAAGCTCAATAAAATTTATCTCGTTTTGCTTCTTCCTCTTGCTCACGCTTTTTTTCATTCCTGAGTTGAGGGCGTTTGGTTGATGTATCTTTAAATTATTTGACATATTATTTTACAGCGTGCGTTCTTAGCGCTTGATCTAGAAAAAATAAGACAATAAACGAAAGAGAACTTTTGAAACCTACAAGTAGAATTAATTTTGGTTTTTTATTTGTAAAACACAAGAGGTTGTGTTTTTGCTTGTGCTTTTTAGATAAAATTAAAAATGAACGACAAAACACAACAAGAAATTACTAAATTTAAATAACTTCAAGAGAAACCACGGGTCGAGAAATTGTAAATTTTATTTAAGTTAATTCTAGCTCTCCTTGCGTAATGAAAGTAACCTGTAGCGCATATAACCAGGATGTTAAATAATAGAGAGATAAATACGTTTTGAATTGCTACAGCAGCGCCCAAGAATAGCTTCCGGCGAGAGAAATTGTCTACACGCACAGTAAAACTAACTAAATGCGACCACGGAAATAATTAAAAATATTGGTGCGCGCTTGTAAGTTTACCTAAACACTTATTGGCTAAGCGGCGCCCAAGTAAAACTGTTTCTTTAAAGTGAGGTTTCAAGTAAAACAACAAAGTTTAGATGAGATAATTTAAAAACAAGGAAGCTCAGTGGCGGGAACCTGAAAATTTTTTTTATTGGATATCAAAACCTCAAAAAATAGTATAAATAGAGAATTCCTCTCTATTAATACAATAACTCATAAATAGGCATAATTTTCTAACTTTTTTTTATTAAGTTATAAGCATGAAGTTCTGGCCAACTTAGAAGCACAAGATATGAGCACCAAGGTCACATAAGTACAATTACCGTTGATAAAGGAGAGCATCCAGATATGTAAATGAATTATAGACTAAAAACTATTTATTACCGTGCATGGTATACACGACACCTACAAGAAAAGAGCTCGTAGGCGAAGAGCCGATAGTTAGAAGTGAACTGTTAACAAAAACTGTCATAGGTAAAAGATTATTTGAACAGCCTTCATGTAAACGGCAAGATTAAATTACAAGAACTAGACACTAAGAAACCAGTGCTTGCCATGCAAACAGTTGAGGTTGTGTTCAAGAAAAAATTACTAGTTTTACCCTCATGACTAAGCTAAAAGGGGTGTGCGAGGCTAATAGAATGAAGAATGAACTAAACAAGCTGCACGCTAAATAGACTTGGTCACTTTGCAGCGTTAAAACATGAACAATGTATCATCAAGAAAACACTTCTCTACTCACAGATTCGCAGCTCTCTTTAAAAAAATTAGCTTTTAATATGTGAAAGGGTGACGAATACAAATACAACACAATTTCACTAGAACAATAATACACTAACAACATAAAAGAGATAGAATATGACATGCTCGGAACTCAACATTACACACCGAAAAAGGAACAGCGTAAACAATGTTTATGAATCGTTACACCCAGATAATACCTACATAAACGAAAAACGCATTGGCCACAACATCAGTAAGTAAAAAAGCGATTCATTTGAGGAGAGCCGCAGGTTGCAATAACTAACTGATTTTGACTTCGGTCGGGATTTTATGTTAGAAACCCTCGGTTGGAAAAGACTGCTCTTAAAAATGACAAAAACTTGGAGTCGACCTTGGTCTTGAAGCAGGTTTTATCTTACCTGTATACGATGACGCAAGTTTAGCTGCCTATCTGCCTTGGGCCACATTAAATGTTATGGGCGCTCTGGACTGTCATGTTTCCATTTCAAAAACTTATGATGAGAAACTTTGTCAAAAAATTGGCTAATAAGTGCGGCGACATCGATCACTATCAATTTTGCAAACACAAAAATAGGAGTGTACATATTATACTATTGGGCACGTCGAAGCATCATGATAAAAGCTACGGAGGTTCTCACCGTAATTGTAGTTACTGCCTATCCCCACTTCATTAAAGATTAAGAATTAAACTAATATAGAATAAGTAATGGAAACACTTTAATTAAACTATAAAGGGGAAGTATGACTGTTAGACTGAAATAAGCAAAATTTAATAATACATTTAAAACCAACCTTTTGTAGGTAGGATATTTGGAGGAAGATGACTACTTAACTACAATACCACAAACAGCAACATGTTAGTGAGAGGGGCGATAAAAAAAAGAGGACTCTACCTAATCAACCCATCAACTGACTTTGTATATTACAAATTAACAAAAAAGGCAAATGGTACTTACGTTATTTCTTCTAAACATTTTAAATATAGCAAAGGTATTACAGACAGCTTAATTACATATGGAACTTAATGTCGAACTACCTAAGTACACTTATTATCGCAAAACGAAAAGAAAAAAATTTCCATATAATTAAAAAACCAAATTGTTAATTGTATGTAGATAGTTGCAGAAGACAAAACCTCAGAACTATGAAACTAAAGCATACTGTTATTATCACTGACGCAAGGATTACACACACCCCCCCCTACGCACAATCACTTCGTTAAGAAACAAGCGCCTTAATAATTAACCCGTATCATCACTAATTAGATAGATAAATAGATAATGGTGGAGGATTAATTAACAACAAAATGTACAAGAAAAAATAAAGATTGTCACCAAAATAGGATAACTAAGGAAGCATACAACCTCTTTGCGATGTGACAAAAAAAATTTTTAAGTAATTAGGAATGATAGCAAATAGATTCCCTCCCAGTATGGACAAGCTACTTCTGACCCAATTTTCAGAAATAAAGAACGAAATATCAAGCAGCAATGAATCTCTTGGATGTAGAGATCTCACACATAATTCTTAATATGTAAACAGGCGTTGTGGCATCACCATAGAGAGGGTATAGTCTTTGATGACCTAACCTATAAAAATTATTGTTTAGAAACATAGCAAGGTTTATGCCACTGTAAACTTACGCAAGCTTGCAGTCACCAGTTTCAACTGAAACAAAAAAACATTATGCTTACTTGAAAGACTAAGGTATATTTAGCTGATTACCCACAATAGGATATTCCTTTTTTAAAACTTAAAATTAGGAAGTTTTATACACAACAACAATACTCAACCTAATAGTAGCTAAGCGCGCGTTCTTTTCTACCTCTTCTGCACCCAAGATATTCCGTTGGATTCATAGGAAAAAAACGGAGACAAAATGCCTATTAAAATACGTCTGCTTAGATCCCTCTTGGAGTGACACAGATGATAGAAGGATAACAATGGAACACATAACCCCAATTAACAACAATCTGGAATCATAGGGCAGCAACGTCAACAGAATAAAATACAGAAGTTCTTCCCGCAGATATGTATACGTAACTCCGGGTAAGAGCATTTCAAAAGTAAAAGAAGTGGAAAACTTAATAGATAAAATATATATTTAACAAAAAACAGAGAGCGTGAGGAACACAAATCTGAGGTGAAACTCCTAAAAGAGGCCGACACAAGGGAAAATAGTCAACCACTACGCTAAAGAAATATTAAAAATCCTAACTAAAAGGTTTTATTCACCTTGTCTGCTTAATAATCTCGTAGGTACAACGACCCGGAAGCTCGTATCAGAACGCTAACAACCCATTATTTGTGGTTATAAAAAAATTAAAATCTCCTCGTCTCACAAAACAATCAGAAATTGCTAAAATTAGATAAGTAATAACTTTAAACGAATCAATATAAATTATATTTAACTTAAAGTTAGAGCCAAAAATACTTACAAGTACAAGAAACTCATATTGGTTGAGATCTGTAAGGTTATTGGTTAGCAAAGATAAAAAAAATAGTATAAATGGAGGCTCCCCTTGTTAAAAGAACAACCCTTTAAGGCCCGAAAGCATAGTATTTTCTTTTATCACAGAGAATTCACCGAACGATAGAATAAAAAGAAGATAGTCTTAACTATATAATAGAAAAATAAAAGTAAGATAGACGCATTAAAGCAAGACACTCCTCCAACAATTAATGTTAAACCAGAAGAAAGAAATACCACTTGCCCTTCATACTTGTAAAAAAAACAACTAGCGTAAATACAACGAAGGGGCCGCCGGATATAAAAAGTTTAAATATGTTAGCAACGGTTTTAAAGAAAACCCCAAAGGACAGCCTAACTCAGCTCGAAATGGGACTTGCCGAGTCAGTAATGGTAACCTATAATGAAGAGATGCTGAAGATGGACAAAGGAAACTATGTAAGAGCTATTAAAGAAGGTCTCACAGCAATACCGAACTTCAGTGGGGCCTCTGTTATACCACTTAGTAAAGTACCTGCCAACATTCCTTCCAAAGTTTTGGAAACTACACATTAAACATGACTAAAAATATAGGGCCAAGAGAGGACTACATGCAAGATAGTGCTGTCGACTACACCCTTGTATAATTAAATATACGACTCCTTTCTCTTATATAACCCTTCCCGCAACTTGATACGCACGTACATATAACTGCGCACTTTAGGTGGATCATTCCCTTAACATTCTCTCTCCAGTTTCACGTTTATATGACGTGAAGTTTTCTGCCAGTCATTCCATTGGCAATATTTATGGCGGATTGGTTATATATTTTTTTAACTGTTTTGCTGGCTGACACGGAAAGAAAGAGCAATATTTTTCGCTTTCAAGGGGAAAGGGCAGAACTAATTTTAGTTAGGATTTTTAAACAAGGGACACTCCTTTAAACATATCAAAATCCACTCCTGCTTCTTTTGTTACTCTCAGACGCAAAACTGCCATCTGAGGATATATTGAAAGTTAGCTTACACCCCTTTAAAACGGTTAATTTTTAGTACTTTGTCTCTTGGAGATATTCAAGATCTGCTTAGCTGCCTGCCAGTG